CAAGAAACAAGTGTGAATTGTTAATTTTTTAAAGATTTTTCAAATTTTGAAAAAAATATGGCAAAAAATAGATAAATTTTTTCAATCTTTTATAATATCTTGTGCTTTCTTTTTTTTTTCTTGAATGTTTAAATTTATATTGATCTGCATTTCTTACATTCAAAATCACAATTTTTTTTTTTTTTGTGTTATCAGTAGATTTATGGATATTTCATGAAGATATTTGGGGAAAATATAATTTAACAAAAAATTGAAAATGTAATTTTTTTCTCTACCTATAAAGACTAAATATGTTTTAGATCTATGGATTTATCTATCATATCCATAGAGCAATTGAAATTTCTTCATTAATATTTTTTTTGATATTTGATATTTTTAGAATTAAAAAAAATAAATAATAATTAATTATATTTTATCATTTGATCACAACAATTGAATATATTATAATTCTATGGATGATCTATCATATCCATAGACCAATTTAAATTTCTTCTTTAATAATTATTTCTTTTATTTTTTATTTTTAGAATTAAAAATTAATTAATTAATTAATTATATTTTATCATTTGATCACAATGATTGAATATATTATAATTATATTGACGATCTATCATATCCACAAAGCAATTGGAATTTATTTTTTAATAACTATTTTTTGAATATATTATATAATGTTTATTTATTTTTTATAATTTTTGGAAACGAATAATAAATTATTATTAATTATATTTTCACATAGAAGTTATGTCAATGCATGTTTTATGGTTGGATAGGAGAGTTGGGTTTTTCTCATCCCATAAAACATGAAAACTTAAGAATTATAATTTATTATAGTTAAGCATAGGACTTTTAATGAAATTATAATTAGCTATAATATATTTCTTCATAAAACCATTAAAATATATTAATATAATGTATATACACCTTATTGAGGTCTTATATTTAGTGTTGTTGATGTATTTTTATGAGGGTCCATTTTGTTTGCAGGAATAGGGGTCTGGAATCGGAGTCGGAATGGGCTATTCCGATTCCAACTGTTTGGTTGGGCGGAATCGGAATCCCATTCCCATTCCTGCTGGAATGGCATTCTCCCATTTGAGGGAATGGCCATTCCCCGCCCCTCCTTGGGAATGAAATCCCATTCCTGCTGATTTTAGTTGCCATTCCCATTCCTGTCTGAACCAAACAGACTATGGGAATGGACCATTCCGATTCCGATTCCGAACCAAAATGACTCTGATTTATTAAAGTATTTATAGTGTTTCCAAGTGTAATTATGTGTATCTTAGTTTTTCTCCGATATGCATGCATATCCAAAACGTATTCCGATACGTTTCTTAAAATTACCTTTCCAATACACTTGACATTTTCGGTACTTTGAAATTTACGTATAAGAGACTTTGAGTTCAGTTTTTAGTAACAAAGGCATTTGAAATTTATATTCAAAAGTTGGAATTGATTTGAACCAAAAGTTGGATTTTTCAAAACCACGCGGATTATGCCAAAAATGGTTGCCAAATTAAGGGGTGTTCCACAACATTAACGAGTAAAAAATTCAAAACCATAATGGGCCCCTAGCCCCCTGTATCCCATATGAATTGTGTTAAAGACATTGGATCCTTCCATCGATGCCCCATACAGGGTTTCCTTACTTTTCCTCTCCTTTTCTTATTTTTTATGAAGTTGCTGTCATAGTTTTTAAAAACGAACTGGTGATTAAACCGGTCAGGGGTCCGGTTACAGTTCGAATGGTCAGATTGTTTGATCCAAACGGCCGGCCTATTCTGACAAAATTAAAAAAAATAATAAAAAAATTGAAAAACGGTCAAAACCGTTTAAACGGTTCGAATGATTAACTGGCCGATCCAACGATTTGCTGACCAAAATCAATGATTTTAGAGAAGAAAAAACGGTTTTAAGAAAAAATGGATGACCAGTTCCCAGTTTTTCCGATCCAACCGTCCGATCCGGTTTTGAAAACCATAGTTGCTGTTACTTGATAGCTATCAGGTTTGACTTTGATGTTAGACAATAGACAGTAAGATAAGATCAAATGGACAAACCCAAAACACTTGTTGGGCCCACACAGGAAAGATTGCTTGTCCCAAAAGATGTGAAAAGATTATTACTTTATGACATCTGACTTTCTAAGGATGAAGATAAGCTGATTTTAAATTCATAAGCAGATGGCATCTCTCCTGAAGTGAAGGCCGGGTTTTGAATCTTTTGATGGTTAAAAGTTTCCCTACTTGTACCTTTTTTTAGTGAATTCATTTCTTGGTCCAGTACAACATGAATTTCTATTCTTTATAAAATTATCCAACAACAACTACAATTTCTATAAATTTCTCGAAAACCAAACAAATGAAATTTCTAATGAAATTCAAGTGGGTATTGCTTTTTTCTACTTGTACCCTTTTTAAGTGAATTCGTTTCTTGGTCCAGTCCAACATAAATTTCTTTATAAAACTATCCAACAACTTCTACAATTTCAATAAATTTCTCGAATACCAAACAAATGAAACTTCTAAAGAAATTCAAGTGAGTATTGACTTTTTTAAGATATATTGACAGAAAAAGCCCTCGAGTGACAATAATTCAAATTTATATGGCTGTACTCTGCTAGTAAGTTGTTACAAAGAATTACAACCAACAGATTCTTCTACACTATGAAATCAAAAGTTCAAGGTCAAGACACTAGAGTCTTTTTTTATGATACAAAAGATAATTAAGTCTTTTAATAATCAATCACATCTAAGCTCCCTGAAGGACCTCATGGGGGCATCATGTTGGCCAAAGATTTAATAAGAGTAATTCTACCAATAAGAGAGAGAGCGAGTTCTGTTTTTCACCCAAAAGTTTCTTTCAATTTTCCCATTAAGAAATTTGAAAGTCTCCTTGTTGGCCGTATTATTGAGAACCAGGCCACCTAAATATAAGTTATTTCTCGACTCCAAAGGAATTCTAAAAATCTTAGATAAAACTTTGTGTAATTTATGATGGATATTCTTAGAAAACATAATGGTAGACTAGCAAAATGAACTTGACGCTTGAGCAAACTTTATCAATATATCCTGAATTTTAACACATATCGGTATAGTAGTTTTAGCAAATATAAGACAATCATCAACAAATTGTAAAACCGGGATGATAGGGTTATTACTTAAACGCCTTGTAACCAATGGAGCTTCTAGGAAGAGATGCATCCCTCAAGAGATTTTTAGTAAAAACCTCAGCATAAAGACAAAAATATAAGAGAAGATCACCTTGCCTAAAAACCTCAGAAAACACGCATGCATTAATACTTAACACCAGATCCCATGTGCTATGACACAAAAAAGATATGATATGCGAATCAAAGCCCCATGATACATTAAAAAGTGTGGCAAAATCTATTACCCACAACACTAACACACTGTAGCCATACATTGAGAACATCTCCACTATTTAAATAATTTAGGGTAAAATACTTGAACATACCCCGAGATTTCTAAATAAACATAAAACTACCTTCCCACCATTATGTTGGATGGATTTAATGAAAAGACACTTTTACCCTTTCTAAATCAATGTCATCTTCTACCTAAACCCCTCCTCTGCACAAACCATTGGAAGAACAACTCCATGATGTGTTCGATGCAGCAATAGCCAGTTCCATCCAAGACTATGACAAAAGGCTTTTCAACGAAAATGATAGCCATTAAAACTAAAACTAATTCCAAGGAACCACCCAGCAATAACATGTTTGATGTGGACCTTTTGCTTGGAAGATGCCATGGTATAACTTGTTGAAGGGGTCATACGATGTGCCATGTTAACACTTCTTATCGTTTTAAGAACATAAGGTATGTTTTATGTTTAAGCTAAGTGGGATAACACATAAATCATATTTAAGTCTATATATATATATATATATATTTAAATTAATTTGTGAAAATTCAGAATATGCTCAAGTCTTTTATCGAAAGGTTCAACTAATCCGAATTCGAACAAATCGGAATCGGACGGGGTGACAGGGATACGCGGTACCACCGATACCGAAGTCTACCTTATCACATAGAATCTAGAATAACACGTGTTCTTTTCGGAGAGGATTAGGTTCGTCGCACCATCAAGCTGTTGCCTCCGCGTTGCATACTTTACTTACAACGCTAATATCTAATTTCTTAATTATCATAAAATCAAAGTATAGTATTATTTTCTTAATTTTATGCATGCATTATGAGCCAAAGATTTTGAGATGGGAATGACTAGATTTCTCTCGACCATCTGATCTATGGCAACTGATAACCCAAAATTCTATATGAGACGTAATAAAGGTTGATGACAACCAATTATTGCCTGCCACGTACCCTACTCTGACCTCTTAATGTTTACAGTTTTTTATTACAAAAAGATAACAACGCACTTTTGATGTTGCGCTTTTAGGTTTAAACTTTCTCTTGTCAAAAACCGTTTAAAATTCGGCGGCCAAAATTTTCGAAGTTTTCAGACAATCCCAGGCTGGACGTGGACGAGTCGCAAACTCTCACCCACCATATACCTGCAGGCTGCAGCCCGCTTGATACTTTTGGCTTTCCCGTGGGGCCCACCATTAACTGAACTTGCCACGTGGCCTAATAACACCGACTCAACAAATTCGACGGACTCTTTTACATCCGTGAGCAGAGTAGCCACCACGAGGCAATCCAAATTTTGGATTTGGCAGAGTCGTCTGGGCTAATGCTAAGTATCCTACACTTATATGCATCCACATAGTACGAGCCGAAAAGACAAAACCACCCTTGTGTGTTCATCTCTTTGCCCTTATTAAATCGAACAGGGGGGCTTATTTGTCTTTTCAAGGAATATGCTCAAGTCAGGACTCTTGAAACGAGTAAGGAGTAACCCCCTTTTCTGTTTGAACTTTGAAATGGAAACGGTCAACACATTAATTTTTCTGAGATTATTTAATTGATTCAATTAAATGATGCTAATTGCTGTAGAGAACCTTCCCCTGCGACAGCCTCTGAAAAAATCTTCAAGATTACCTGTACTATTTATAATCCTTTCCATCTACTTATTCTCCATCGTCTGTGTCTTTTTTTCTTCTTGGTTCAGTGCTATCGATTTTGGTTGATCTTCTTGTAGCGAGAGGAAGATGGTTCGAGTGAGCAACAACCTAATAGGCATTCTAAACTTTGTGACGTTCCTGCTCTCGATTCCGATCTTGGGAGCAGGAATATGGTTGGCAAACCGAGCCAGCAGCGACTGCGAGAAGTTCCTCGAGAAGCCCGTTATCGCTCTTGGAGTGTTTCTCATGGTGGTCTCTCTCGCCGGACTCATCGGTGCATGCTTCAGAGTCTCATGGCTTCTCTGGCTTTACCTTCTTGTGATGTTCCTCCTCATAGTTCTTCTCTTCTGCTTCACGATCTTTGCTTTCGTGGTGACTAACAAGGGWGCTGGAGAGGTGTTGTCAGGTAAAGGGTATAAGGATTATAAGTTGGGGGATTATTCCAACTGGTTGCAGAAGAGGGTTAACAACAACAACAACTGGAGGAAGATCAAGAGTTGCTTGATGGATAGCCATGTCTGCAAGAGTCTCAATGACACTACTTCCGAACCGATGGAAGAATTTTACGCCCGGCATTTGTCTTCAATTCAGGTATATAATCATTTCTCTTCCTCCTTCCCTCCACCTCAAAATGGTTGTTAGGGCTTTCTCATTCTCAAACTCCGCTGTCTAAGTAGGGTTTCTTCTTCTTAGCTTCTGGGTTCTTAAATTTTTGTTTTATTCATTATTTCTCTTTGAGATCCGAAATGGGAACTTTTATTTGTTGATTTTTGTTGTGGGTTTTTCTTTTTTTTTTTTTTTTGTTTATCTGCCCATGAGATCCGAAATGGGAACTTTTATTTGTTGATTTTTGTTGTGGGTTTTTCTTTTTTTTTTTTTTTTGTTTATCTGCCCATCCGCTATTACTCGCAGTTTCATGTAATCAGAATCCGTTTCATCTGTACTTGATTTTTTTTTTTGTTAGATTTGGATTTCTGATATTCATATTTGGATCCATTGAAAATAGAATTAAGTGGCGATTGTGGAGAATTAGTAGCATATGAGAACATTATTGAAGGATTTCTCTTGGAATTTCTTGGTGGAGATCCCCTCCTGCGTTTGGTTTCATACTTGTATTTTGATCTGTGTTGATTGAATCAAAGGATAACGAAATTTTCCTTCATTTTCTTGTAGACATGACAAATGGGTTTTAGTATCTGGTTGATTTCATTCACCATGTCAACATGATTTAATATCCACTAATTTCATTTAGCTCTCTGGTTCATTGGAAAACTATTTATGTAAATCTGTATTTCTTTTCTGATTAATTACTTAACCATTTCTGTGTTTATCGCACGTCGGTTTTGGCTCCTTATTGGATGGTTTTCTTGGTCAAGTGACAAACAATGTTAAGCTTTCCTAGTTATCGGGAAAAAAATCTTCATTTCTAGCAAAATTTCCCCAGTTCTGTCTTGCATTCTCAACCGATATTGCACAGCTAGTATTATATTTTAAACAACTCTGATGGAAGTTTAGAATTGGGCAAACGATAGTATATTATGTTTGGAAGTTTTGTAGTTGGAAATGTATCATCATCAAAGCCTTATCCCAACTATATAGCTACATGAATCCTATTTCGGCATTCCATTCTGTTTAGTTTAATGGCATAGCCATTGTAAAAATAAAATTATAAAATTATGAGCACTTTTCAAAGTCTGATCTTCCCTTTGTTTCTTCTTCTGATGATTGCAGTCGGGCTGCTGTAAGCCTCCAACAGCATGTAATTTCCAATACGTGAGCCCAACAGTCTGGACGAAAACCAATACAACCAGCTTGCTTTCTGATTGCAATAACTGGGACAATCCCACAGGCTCGCTCTGTTTCAACTGCGATTCTTGCAAGGCTGGAGTACTTGACAATCTCAAGAAGGACTGGAAGAAGGTGGCTGTCGTGAACATTATCTTCCTCATCTTCCTCATTATTGTCTACTCTGTTGGCTGTTGTGCTTTCAGGAACAACAGAGAGGACAATGCATACCCCAGATGGAAGGGATACCCTTAGATCACTGATTTAGATTCGACTAGTCTTAGAGAGTTGGACAGAGTGATGTATCCTCATTAATATTTTGTTTTTTGTTTCTTTCTATGCTGAGTTACAGAGATGTGTTTATTACTTTATTTTGCTTGTCTTGTATAGATAATCTCTGTATGCTAGTTTGATTATTGGTATCATATCCAGCTTAGGTTTGTGCATTTTGAATTTTGTTATCATTGTTTACATTGTTGTGGTTTTAGAGCTTCCAGCTGCCATTAGAAATCAGTTGAACTTTAGAACAGATCTTACTTGGGCAATTTAGGAAGGCAAATGGGTTGCTGAATAGTTGCAATTCTTCTTCCAATTCCCTCGTTGCAGCTGAGACACTGGTTTCGGGATAAGGTTAGCCAAACTTGCTTATGGGGGTGGGGATAAGGATGATCTAGTTTCCAGGCATCCTTAGAGGTGCCATGTGTAAGGGATAAGGATGAGACGGTGATGGCAACTTTGGAAATATCTGTCCCCCTCTTCCGCATATTCCTGAAATTGAAAATATTTCATTTGATAGTTCCCTTCAGAAGACAAAATCCAAGTTAGTAATCATGCCAAACTGTTCGGTAACAAGTCTCATTGGAACAGGTCTCCAAATGGGCTAATTTAGACCATTCTGAGATCTACATATCTTGGTTGGTGGCGGGGATTGAGAGGAAAGCATGTGCGTGCTGACTTGGGTGAGATGGTGAGCTTTCGTGGACGACTCTCCATCAGGGTCAAATGAGTGTTGGCCGGGATGAACAATTGGCGCGCCCTGTTTGGTGCGTGTCCCATCAGTGTCTACTACCTCTTTGCTTTGTCTGGGGCCAAGCCTTATAAACAAAAGGGAAAAAACAAGAGGATGGAGAGGGAAGAAGAGGGTGAGGTTGGAATTATGGTGATTACTTGCATTGACTCCTTTATCTTTCATTCTCTTCTTACCGTGCGTCTGTGCGGTAACTTTCTGCTCAAGAGAAGCAAGGATTGGTCACCAACTCTTTTACAGAGGATAGGTGGATCACTGTATTCAATCTGTTTTGTTGGCTCGGCTGGTCAAACCGGTGATGTGATATGATTCGGTTGGGTTAACCTCTACTATTTAATAAAAGAAATAGTTGACCAAGTCAGACCCATCCGGGTTATCAGATTTTTGTATTTAATTGCAATAAGTGGAAAACCCAAGAGACTATGGAACGAATTGTGACCACAGAACCCCTTCCATTGACGTGAGTGCCAATTTATAATTCCGGGCCCTACTTGATGACCTCAGCTGCCATGAAATGAGAGATTTATATTTTTTTATGTCCTATGATTTTCATATATAATTGTTTCAGGCCCTTTTTTTTTATTTTTTTTTCGCAACCGGTTTAGGTCTCCTTTACCCCTGAACCAGCCAGATTTCCAATACACCCATTGTAGGGGCATATTGGAGGGGTTCCGGGATGATACGTATCGATACAGGTTGATACGTGTTGATACTTTGAACCTTCGATAAGTATAACATTTTTTTTTTTATTTTCAAGTCTTTTGCAATTAGGCCTGTAAGCAGAGGGAGTTCAAATCGAATCACGTTGTATTCGAATTTGAGTTTGATTATAAAACTGATTATTCGAATTTGAATTCGAATTCAAATTTGACTAGATAATTGAATAATCAAATATTTGATTAATTTGAATTCGATAAGTTACATCCTAATTCTTGAAATCCAAGAATAAGCCCTCTTGTCCCTTTGAATGAATTATGGAGAAAGCTTTAGTTTGATTTCTATAAATAAACAAAGGATATACATTGTTTCTGTAAACGAAGAAGACAAACAAACAAGGGAAAAAATAGGAAAAAAAAACCTAATAAAATATGGAACAAATAACAAAGAAGACAGACAAAGAACAAGGAGAAAGCAAGAGAGTGAGGGAGGGAGAGAGGGAGAGAAAGCGGGGAATAGGAAGAGACTGCAACATCTTTTTTGATACATGAAACTTTCTTTTGCTTCTTTGATACATAAAACAAATAGATGATAGCTGCAATTGTGATATTCATTTACTATGAAACTTTCTTTTGCTTCTTTGATACATGAACTTTGCTTTAAATATACACTATTCATTCTTTTTTTTTTTTGAAATCTCTTCATGAAAATCAGCAAAACCAGACGTTGGAGAAGAAATCAATGCTGGGGAATGAAAAAATGAAAGATATAAGAGAGGGAAATGGGGGAGATGAGACGTAGCATGTTGAAGTAATTAATGCACTTTTATCACTTGTCGATTAATAAAAACAAGTTTGAACCGAATGGTCTTATCATGGCAGAAGCAATTAGTTTTTTTTTTTTTCATATTAAAATAAGAGTATATAATAATATAAAAATTAAATACACTTGACGGAGGTTTTAACTTTTAAGACACATATCTTTCTTTTATAAAAAGAATGTTAGAACACGTATATATTATATTATATTATATTGTTATATTAATCTAATTCAGATAATTATTGAATCAAATCAATTTAATTTGATTATTTAATCGGTACAAAGCATATATTCGAATTCGACTGTTTGCATCATTCAAATTCAAACCAATTACATGGATATTAAATTCGAATTCAGATTTTCAAATACCGTTGACACCCCTATTTACAACAATCTTGGTTTATTTTGGGTAACTTTAATATTTGGGGTTGGGGTTGATTGCAAGGTGTCAACTGGCTGATTGGTAAAGCTTCTTTCTGGTTGTAGGCTTGTAGCAGAGGCTTGGGATCGAATCCCACATCCACCAAAGTTTGGGGTGTTAACAAAGACCCCTCCTGCAGTTTTTTTTTGTGACAAAGCACGCCCTGAACTTTGGACTTTAGACAAAACCCCTTCCATTAATGTTACATCGGTTAACCTCAAAAAAGATTCTCATTTAACTGTTTAAAATTTTTTAAATCTTTAAATTACTCTTTTCTTATTTATTTGAATTTTGAACCATCACCTAGTGTACCTGTGAAAATCCGGTAACACTATCGACAAAGTTTGCTTGTGATATATCTTGGCCATTCACCCTCGACCATCCACCGGCGAGGGTTGGACGGAGCCCAATCCGCCGAGCACTGGATTCTACTCAAACCCAGCCAGAGGGGCCTCCGTCGATAGTCCACGGATGGATTCTTCAAGCAAAAACTTTTTCTAAAGCTCAAGCAGTCCACGCAGCTTCAATGGGGACCCAAAATCAAACACAGAGGAATGGAGAAATCCTACTCCGCAAACATCAGGATTCTTCCTGTTCTTAATGTTCTAGTCTATTTGCTTTGAGGTTGATGAAAGTCAGGTTTCGTATTCAGATTCGATCAATTGTGTTGCTTGTTTAGCTACCACTGTCGGTGGTGGTTTAAGAATTCCCTTTTCGAAGCAAGGCAGCAAACAACTTTACCAAGGGAGTTCATGTTACAGGGATCGACTGAGACTGGTCTAACCGTCATGGACACTCAAACACGGCGGCAAATAGAGAGAGCTCCCCGGATTTCTCCCGATGGTGGGGAAAGAAGCACAATGTAGTATTGAGTCAAGTCCATTGCGCTAGGCCAGTTTGCATAAAAGCAACATAAATTGAAAAATCCATTGCACATTGTCAAGTCCCATCAAATGATTAGATTTCGGCATCAAGGAATCCTGTCCTCTTTAACTAGCTTCATAATCTTGTCCTGTTTTATGAGATTCATAAAATCTCACATAGTGGAATGTTTCTGGCGTTCCAATGAACATAATGATTCTTTCTTATAACCTGTTTTTAATAATAATGAAATGGCTAATTGAACTTTCAGGAGAGGAAATGGACTAACTAGCACACTGGTGCCCATAACAGAGGAGTTCAATATAAAAGAACAAAAGAAACAGAGTAGGATTGATTACTTGGTCCTCTCTTCCGATATTTATCTGTTCAATAAGAAAACCAAAAGACCTTTTCTCCATTCCCTGGACGTACAATTCAATTATGTTAATGAACTCTACCTCCTTCCCCTGGAGTGAAGGAAAGTTTCCGATGTTGGTGGCCACCCAACTACGCTTCACATCTTTGAGAAGATCTTAAACTTACAGTTATGTGATATGTCTGCGTTGAAAGAAGAATACTACAAATGGAATTGAAACAAGAGGCTCAGTGGAGTCAGTAATGCTTAAGAGAGAGCATGGCTTCTCTTTCTATGGCTCTTTTGCTTACCTCCGCCTCAGCTTCCGCTCAAGATTCTAGCACTTCACCAACGCATTCAACTTGTATGGTGCTGACAGTTTGTGAGAAGGTTTTAGTGTAACACACCTGTATTACATTGTCTAATTACGCTCATTTTATTTAATCTTTTAATAAATTTAAAATTTTTAATTTTTAATATTTTATTAATAAAATAATAATTTTTATTGTTAATTCTAGCACAAGTCCGATGGTTCTCCTTCTCAACTCTTTTTTCATTATTTAAATATTAATTTTTTATATTTTATCAATAAAAAAATAATTAAAATAATATTTTTTTTTAATTATTTAAAAATACAATTGTTGTCTACATATTGATGCCTTTTTTCAAATTATTTATGATATAAAATGCAGAAATTAGACATTTATGATCGATTGTGTAGATCTCCCGTAAAATGTATATGAGATACATGAAATCAAAAAGTGTGGTGTGGACTACCTAAAGAACGCCACTGTGTTTGTGTATTGGTCTAGTCTACACAATTTATCCACAGTTCAGAACAACTATGAACTGCGTTGTGGTGTTGATTGATTCCTACCAAAGGGTGTGGTGTGGACCAGTCTACACCCACCAATTTTTCATCCACACTACAGAACACCCCCTATATTTTGTGTAATGAAGTTTCTTAACGGTTAGGAAAAAAAATGACAAAGAGGAGAAGAGGGCAATAAAAAGTAATTGAGGGATATTTGGCCCGACCTCTCGACCACCCGACACGTGGAAGTGACCAAGGATGACCTGGCAGAAGCGCCAGCTCGGCACGGCGATGTGCTCGCGGCCCGAGCTCTAAGAAGAGCCCCGAGCTCTCCCAAGAGGAACCAGCGACCCGAGCTCCCTAAAGAGGAACTTGAGCTCTCCCTTTGACCCTGAGCCTTACAAAGGAGAGCAAAGGAAAACAGCCCAAACTGGCCCACCTCAAAGTAGTTCGGGCCACTTCTATCCAAACTCAAGACCACCTCGCACACCA